GAGTTAAGGGAAGAGTTTGGTTTGGTTAGCTTAGTTCAAAACGCGATTCTCCGACTTGAATTAGTTCCAAAGTTGCCGGCGATTGGAAGAGCTGTTCTGTGTGGTTACATAGGGCTATGGTTGCTTAAGACGGTGCTTGTGTATAGGAAGAGTAATGAGGTTGAGTGCACAGAATTGGAGAAGGAGATGTTGAGGAGAAAGATGAAAGCTTGGAAGGAAAAGGAAGTGGCGGAGAAAGGTGCCGTGGAAGTTTTGCAGGAAGAGGGTTTGGAAAAGCCATTGGTGTCGTTTGGGAAGCCGGAGTTTGATCGTAAAGAAATTATGAGTAGTATATCTAGAGTAAAGGGTTCAGAGAAGAAATTGGAACTCTTGAATTCTTCTCAGGTTGAGAGTGGTGAATCCATGGACTTTGATAACAAGATCCATGAAATTAAAGCAATGGCTCGACGAGCACGGGAGATAGAAGCTAGCATAGAACTTAAAGAGAAGGAGAAGCGCAATGCGAACAAAAAAACGGGCGTGGATGATGAAGATATAAGCATGCGGTCACAGAACAGTCTTCCACATGAGGGTTTGCCACACGGTGAAGGTGACGATGGTAAAGATGAAAGCTTGGGGACTTCCAATGGGGCTATTCCAATGGTGAATGGGGCTATGGTAGATTCTGGTTTTCCGAATGTTGAATTGGCAGCATCGGACTCAGGAAAGCTGAGTAATGTGGTATCACTAGTTCCTACAGATGGGATCATTCAATCTTCTGATGATTCTATGGATAAGTTGAGTATAGTGAAGAATAGCACTGGTCGTAAGTCACGGCTCATACGGTCTGTAAAAGAGGCTAAAGAGTTCCTTTCAAGAAAAAGTGGTGAGAAAGAGCTTACGCAGGAACCATCTCAGACGATAGTCCAAGACAGAGATAAAATCTTCCCAAAGCAGAGCGATGAAGAGCGTCGTGTAGCTAGAAAACACAAATTGGCTGAGAAAGATAAAATCCTTGGTGCAGCTGTCAATGGAACCTTGAAATCTGCACTTGAGTCTAATTCTTCTGAACCTTTAGGGAACGATGTTCATTTCCAACCCCAAAAGAATGATTACCAGAAAATTTCAGAACCTGGGAATACGTGTAAGGGATCGGGCAAGCAAGGAGATTCTGTAAACGAAAAAGAAGAATGCGAAACAAGTCTTTTCGAATCAGCCGAAAGTTCTTCTGGTGGTACTGAACATATAGTTAAGGAACAACCATCAGGGAAGGAGAACTGGATTGAGAAACACTACCATGAATTTGAACCTGTTGCTGAAAAAATGAGAGCTGGATTTAGAGATAATTATATGGCTGCAAGAGAGAAAGAAACTCAGGAGCCAGGTAAAATTGCTGAAATAGCAGAACTTTACCGCAATGAGGATAATGATGAGCTTGAGTGGATGAAGGACGAAAAGCTAAGAGACATTGTCTTCCTTGTTCGAGATAATGAGCTGGCTGGTAGGGATCCATTTCACTTGATTGATGCCGAAGACAAAGCTATGTTTTTGCAAGGCTTGGAGAAGAAAGTTGAGAAAGAAAATGAGAAACTATCTCATCTGCATCAATGGATTCATTCAAACATTGAAAATCTTGACTACGGAGTAGGTAATATATCTTCTCTACCACTTTAGTTTGCAATGAGGCACTCTCAATATGCATAAGCTTGTCAAAATATATCTCATTTTTCTCCCTTCCTCGTACCATTCAGATGGCATCAGTGTGTATGATCCACCAGAGAAAGTCATACCGAGATGGAAAGGGCCGCAGCTTGAGAAGAACCCCGAGTTCCTCGATAACTATCATGAACAGCGCGAGGCATTGTTTACTGGAAAAGCTGCGTCTGTATCTCGTGTGAAAAAGGAAGAACAGAGCTCTCTTCAGGAATCATCACAGACTGCTTCCTCTGAGAACACTCTCACTTCTTCATCTGAAATTACTTCAAGCCAGCCAAAGATTGTTGTAGAAGGAAGTGACGGATCTGTTAGACCTGGGAAAAGGTCAGGAAAGGAGTATTGGCAGCACACGAAGAAATGGTCACGCGGGTTCCTTGAGTTGTACAACGCAGAGACTGATCCAGAAGTGAAAGCGGTTATGAGAGACATGGGAAAGGATTTGGATCGATGGATTACAGAAGACGAAATCAAAGACGCAGCTGATATAATGGAAAAGCTACCAGAGAAAAACAAGGAGTTCATGGAAAAGAAACTCAACAAACTCAAGAGAGAGATGGAGTTGTTTGGTCCTCAAGCTGTTGTGAGCAAATACCGCGAGTATGGAGAAGATAAGGAAGAAGATTATCTATGGTGGTTGGATCTTCCACATGTACTGGTATGTTTAACTTACTAAACATTTGAAACATTGTTAAAGAAGCTTAAAAGTCATTCAAATCTAATCTTCTTTGTTACCATGTTTCAGTGCCTTGAGATGTACACAGTCAATGACAAAGGAGAGCAACAAGTAGGGTTCTACACATTGGAGATGGCAACAGATCTCGAATTAGAACCAAAGCCACATCATGTGATTGCTTTCGAGAACGCAGCGGACTGTAGAAACCTCTGTTACATTATCCAAGCTCATTTGGATATGCTTAGAACTGGAAATGTTTTCATTGTTCCGCGCCCGCCCAAGGTAAAGAATTTCACCAAGGAAGAAACTTCAGTTAAACCTATTACTCTCGTGTCTATTTAAAATTTGTTTATTTTTAAATCACGTATACAGGATGCATTTCGAGAAGCCAAGGCCAATGGATTTGGTGTAACGGTTATCAAGAAAGGAGAACTGAAGTTGAATATAGACGACCCGTTAGAACAAGTAGAGGAAGATATATGCGAGATAGGGAGCAAAATGTACCATGATAAGATCATGGGAGATCGAGGTGTGGATATAAGCTCGTTGATGAAAGGTGTCTTTAACCTCAAGACCAAACCTACCGGTGAAAGAAGAAAACGATCGAAGCAGGCTCTGAAAGATTCTAACAAGAAAAGTAGTTGAAGCACCAAGCCATAGGGCCTAGCAACAGAGGTCGGAGGTAAACTGATGTCTTAGTGCCTTAATAGAGTTAAGTTCCTCATTTTTCGAGTCTGTCTTGATCTTCTTCATCGTTAAGTCTATATAGTTTTGAAGAAATCACATCTTATCAATGGAAGAAAGGAGTCACAATACAAGCTAATGCTCACTAGGCATTAGTTACAATACAAACTCACAAACTAAACCTCAATATTTTCATTTCCCCCTTCCTTGAACTTTTTCCCCTCCTTGATCTCCAATTCTTGTTCAGGAAATGGGCGCTTAGGACCGGATGAGGGTTCATTGTCAAGAGGTGATAGGCCATAATCTAGTTGGGGGGGTGGCAGGACATGGTCCAGCTGCTTGACTTTCCCATACGAATTCTGTACTACCACAGTCAGGTGGTACCTTTCCCGATGCGGCTCTAGGCTGCGACAAGAGGATATTGCAGAATCCTCCCGATTTCACAGAGCGAAGAGCATCCAAAAACTCCAGGTCTCTTGAGATGTCTCCGACGAGTAGCACAAAATTCAGTCGTTCACCTGTACCTACATAAATCTGTGTGTGGTTCTGCATGCTCGCTAAAATCGTCTTACGTCGTTCTCGTGGAAAAACTGAAACCGAACGCAGAGATTATTAAGGATACAGAATAAGGCCGACAAGAGAAAGACTTGTTAGAGTAATTGACCTGAGGGTATGTCAAAGAAACGAAGTCCATGATCCGGACTGGTGCTCACATCACCAACAGCTTTCACGACAGCGAAACCACTATAACCCATGTTTCTAAGGCTTGTTTTAATGTTCCAAAGAAGTTTACTGAGGTCTGAGACCATCGGGAAAAGGGCAATCATGGGAAGTCCCATACGTTTCCGCATCTGCAATTTACCAAAACGAGTGATTTGCCTAAAGAAAGGAATTAAAAGAAGCCATAGCCACTCGATAGAGGAAAAGTTGCAAACTCGCCAGCGTAACAAGTAAAATCCAAGTGAATTTATAATAATTGGGTTTGAAGAAGATAAAACTCGATTCTAACCAAACAGAAAACTCTCAACTAAAAGAGTGAATGAGATGAACAAAAGAGCCATAAACCTCCATGGTCAACCTCACTGCCCACATCACCAACACGGTAACCAATGTCTTCAAGGGTTTTTTTAATCTTCTTCATAAGCATAAAACCTTTGAAGCCATTAGGCATAGGGCAATCCTCGAAGGCCCAATACCGAAACTATACACATCAGATCACAATTTCATCTACTCTAGTTTTCACTCATTATATACCCACTAAAGCATCTAATGAAAGTTGAACAAGATGCAACACAAGAGGATCTAACGCCTAAGCATAATAACTACAAATCGAATACAATACGAGAGAGAGAGAGAGATCTTACATACGAATCGCTATTCAAGAGACATATGGCTTTAGCGCATTGATAGAGACAGAAGAAGATGTGGCTTAACCCTAGAAAAGGTAACGAAAATCTTAACTTATATGACAAGGTAACATCATATTCTAACCGAACCGGTTTTCGGGTCGGGACCAAGTGAAATT